ATAAGTTAGGTTTATTTTGATGATAATGGCGGATTTTTCTCCTATTTTGCTTCATCACGAACACGGACGGATTCTCCCTCTTTTTTTTTGATTCTCTGTGGAATCGTAATTGGTTCTGCGGGTACCGATCTCGATCGGATTTGTGTTCTCCTCGGATATGTCTTTCTGGATCTTCGTTTAGCTCTGATCCGATTTCGAGGAAAACGGATGAGAATGTGAGATTTAGGGTTCCTTTTTACATTAATCCTTGTGATCGGGAATCTGGTTCTAAGTTCTGGGTTTTTTTTTCCGCACCAGAGCATAGAGATTTTATCTGCTTTTTTCGATTGTTGATATAGAGATTTTGGTGTTCCAGGTGCATCACTTAACCTCAAGGGGGTTACATTACTGCCACTGCAAAGAAAAGGGAAACTATATTAGTGGAAAAATGTTCTTGGACGCTAAACATATGACTCCAGTGCAGTGTGGCTAAGCATCGTGGTCAGATGAAGTATCTGAGGTATTGAAACTGATGAGCACCATATCACTTTTTGGAGATGATCTAATCTATCTGGAGACGCCCCACCTTTTGTGTATATTTTGTAGATAATTAGGCTTTTTCTTTATACAGTTAAAAGGGTTTCTTCTAATGGCTATTGCTGGCCTACAAAACGTTTTGGCCATCGATTCATCTTTCTCACGGGACTCTGAGGCCCGGACATCTAGACAGAGGGAAAATGATGGAAGGCCGAGCATCCGGGCATCCTCACTCCTACAGATGTGGAGGGAACTTGAGGATGACCACGTGATGGGTCATGCTCGTGAGAGGAGTGCTTCCTCTAGTTCTAATGCGTTCATGGGAAATGGTTATGACAATAATATTAGTGCAAACGATACTGTTTTAGATAGTGTAAATTTGGGTGACAATGAACTTGGTGGATGGTCCCCCACGCCGAGTCATGTTGGGTCACATAACTCGAGCGAGGATCTCAGCCCTTATCAGAGCGAGCACTCGTCAGATCTGGGGATCGTCGAAAGGGAAAGAGTTAGACAAATTTTTCGTGAATGGATGAGCTCTGGGACAGGTGAGCTTGCTTCTTCAGCTTCCCACACAACCAACAGCTCAAGAGCAGAACGGCTTGGCGAAACTGAACAGGAAAGGGTGAGGATCATAAGGGAGACGGTTCAGATGAATAGCCAGCAGAGGCCTGTTGTTGGTAATCTCAGGGAAGAACAGCCTACTGAAGTTATTAACCAGATTGAAAGAGTACTTGATGGAATGGTTGTTAATGAGAACTGTATCCAGAATGAGCATGCTAGAAGAGGAATACGCAAGTTATGTGGTAGGCAAGTGTTGGTGGATATGTTAAAAATGGCTGAGAGGGAAAGGCAAAGAGAGCTGCAGGGTTTGATGCAGCATCATTCTGTATCGAACTTTCCTCACCGCAACCGCATCCAGGTTTGCTCCTAAGACCTTTATACTGTTTGAAGAGATTCTGATGTGACGTTTGTGTCATAGGAGTTGATATATATGCTGAGCAATTTTTAGTTACTTCTTTATGTTACCTTACCTTATCATTTTGTGTATCATTACAAGTCAGATTAATGTGACACATCGGTTAACAGTTGGTTCTAGAAGGAGTTGTATTTGTCTCAGCTTTATCTCTTGGCTTTCGGTTGACATCCTTGAAGTTGGAATCATGATCTTTAATTGCTTTTTCAGGCATTGCTAAGGGGAAGATTCTTGCGAAATGGTGACAAGGACGACAAACAAAAACCATCATCTTCTGCAGCTACTGAGTTGGGCTTTCTAAGAGAGAGGCAAACCGTGTCTGAGCTGAGGTAGCTAATTCTTATGTATTGATCAATTCATGTGTATCTTTGTGCGTTACTGTAATCTTTTTTTTTTATTACCCTTTCATGGGTCTGATATGTGGCTTAATATCCTATGCTTTCAGACCTTTATTATATTTAGATATAAACAGATCTGGTAAATTTTGGAGTGCTTCCAGTCTTTGTTGGCCTTGTTCACCCATTTTGTATGACTTTGTAGTCGAAGTATATTTTCTGTTTCATCATATTAGTGCCAGTTCAACCTAGAAAATGAGTCTTCTGATGCTTTTGTAGGATTATAGACGTAGTTGTTTACTGTGTATCTGTCCTTGACAGGGAGGAATTTATATCCAGATTGGACCGGTCTGTCTCTGGTCAAGCGAGCAGTAGTCACTCAGATACCTTATCAAATGCTGAAACTGATGATAGTAGGGGTGAAGAAAGCAATTTAAATTGTCTAGATAGCATCAATGATGCTGACGGTGGTTCAGATCAAAATGGCAGAGAGGCTGACAGCCAAAGTTCGGTGGATGAGTTAACTAATTCTAGACACTGTAATAATCGGAGCACAAGTTTGGAAGAAAGGACTGCTCGTGTAGAAGGCTGGCAGGGACAACTTTCTGAGAATTTCCAAAGTGAATGGGAACGGTCAGAAAGTGATGAATTTTCTCGAAGAAGAAGTGATGCTGAAGCAGACCTGAATAGCCATCAAAGGGAGGATGCTACAGTGTGTTCATCCTCTTCAATTCGAGGAAACAAGGTCAAACAAGGGTGTCGTTTACATGAGACTATCGAGATCTCTGATGCACAGTCCCTGCAAAGTCCCGTAGAAATTGCCACCATGGGACAGATGAACGGGTCAATTAATTTCCAGGAGCATCTGGCTGAGAGCATAAATCTAACTGTCACCATAGAGGAACAACCCGAGGAGGAGAATCTGGAAAATGAGGAATCGGATTGGCAACTTATCAATGGTGAATCCAGTGATTGGAGACATGACACCGAAGAGGAGGCAGACAATGACATTCCTGAGAGTTTTCCAACTCGGATGTCCCAGATATCATCCGTGGACGAGGACAGAGAAGCCCATGGTGTACTAGAACTCCCAGAGATGGAGCCCGATGATGTTGATCTTCAAAGCTCACAACAAGACTGGGCAGAAGAACGATCTGACGAGGACACAGTTTCAAGTGGCAGGCCTGCCACATTCTTTCGTGTGGCTGATGGTAATGAGAACATGGAACTCAGAGAACTCTCGAGCAGGTAACAATCTAGTAATACTTCTGCGGTAAACACCACACTTGTCAACCTGATAAATGTATCTGACGACTTGCTGTTTGCACTACAGGAGACGTGTCTCAAATCTTCTACAAAGCGGGTTTAGGGAAAATCTTGACCATTTGATACAATCTTACATGGACAGAAGAAGCAGAAATCCTGTCGAGTGGGAAGAAAACGAGACTTTTCCTGACCCTACAATAGTTGGTGAACATACAGAAGAGCCGGATGATGATCAGAGTGGTGGTGAAGAACTTGATGCTGTCGAATCTCCTCCTTTGTCTCTACCTTCCCCAGTGATTCCTGTTCAGTCACTCTGGCACCATGAGCGGTCCAATTCAAATTGGCCAGCACATGAGTTACACCAACACGTTGGAATGGTAAGACTAGTTCCACAGTGAATCATTGTGGTGAAGGCGCTACTGCAATTATCTTTTCTAAAGATGAAGGACTCAATTGTTGACTTATGTAGGCTAATTACTCTTGATCAACAATATCTCTGCAGGATTGGGATTCGATCAATGGTTTGAGAGTTGACATGGGCAGAATACAGCAAAGGATGGATAACCTACAGAGGATGCTGGAGGCTTGCATGGAAATGCAACTCGAGTTACAACGGTCCATAAGACAAGAGATCTCTGCTGCAATGCACCGCTCTGCTGACTCATCAGGTTTTCTATCCGTCTCAAGTCACAGAATGATTTTACACATGATGATTCACAGTACACAACATGTAAAGTATGTTTTGCGGTTTTCTTTGAAATACTGTTGGCTTTATGATGTGCGCTAATCGATTCACAGGTCCATCCAAGGACACATGTTCGAGCTATGAGTCAAAATGGGAATATGTAAGAAAAGGGATCTGCTGCATATGCTGCGAGAGCAACATTGATTCTTTATTGTATAAGTAAGTATGGACCATGAGAACAACAGCATATGTTCCCGGATTGATATCTCTAATTTTCTTTGTTTACTTTTCCTTATCTTATTCCCAAACAACAGATGCGGACATATGAACACCTGCGAGAAGTGTGCAAAGAAGCTAGTGGAAGCTGGAGGAAAATGTCCCATGTGTCAAGCCCCTGTGATTGAGGTAGTTCGGGCTTACTCTATTCTCTGAACTCGTATACTCTGTCTTCTCCATTGGCTCCAAGCTCTGCTTCAGATTGCTTATTAGATTCTGGGTTGGTTTTACTGATACCAAATGTCTTGGTCACTCCTGTGATTTTATAGCATAGATATTTACCCATTCCCTCGGCTCTTAATTTTATCCGTGGTGTAAGGAAACACACTTCTTAACTATTTTTATACAACATGAAATATCAAAAGGTACAATAGAAATTGGCGACGGAGTATTCCCGACTGAGACTACCTACATTTTTGGGCATATCCAAAAAGGGGACATTTAGAAACCGATTTCTGCAACACATTATAGCACAAAAAATGGGCTTATGAAAAACACTGCTTGTTTTATTCTTATTTTTGGGGTGTTTTTGTGAGAGTGTCCCTGTGTAACTTGTCAAGTTTGATTATCCCAAATTACCAAGCATCATTATCCTAACGTGTGCGTTGCCTGATCTAACTTTGATTATCCCAAATTACCAAGCATCATTATCCCAAACAGAATCAATCATCATTATCCCTGTGTAACTTGTTTCGTGTTTTATAAGCATAAAAAGAGGGAGGATGATCGGGTTTTGTGATAAAGTCGGGTTACCTACCCGAGAACCGCCAAAACAACTGTTCCTGTTCAATTCCGCTCAACATGCCTAGATAGTCGAGTTTTCGAAGGAAATTTAGCTCTTGTCTTGTCTTGGCTCTGTAATCGATTCCGCAAAAACGCTTAGAATTTATTGTGTTCCAATCTAGCGAAGACCAAACAATGATAAATGATTGGAATCCACCAAATCTTATTGATCACAAGATGTCAAGAGCTGACAAGTTTTGATGGATCGAAGTTCCCCACGCAAATATGAGGAAAGCGTTTGTGGTAAGAACACAAATCAAAGCCTTAGTGAATCCACACAAAGACAGAGATGCAAGACGTTTTCTAAGCAATTAAATTCACGAAAATACTTAGCACAACAAAGAGAAACAAGCTAGAAGTTAGAAGCTTATACAGTATAAACTCGGTTATTATTCAATTCAAATGTGGTTTATAGTATAAACTCGGTTATTATATAGGCTTGTGATTCCCTAAGAATAATGGTATCAAACGCTTAAGGAAGAAACAAAAAAATCAAATTAAATATCAATCAATCAAAGACATGATTGATATAGCCTTTAAAGCTCGATGTTTGGCCAAATGAGGAAAATGTGAGGTTCTTTGTATTTGGACAACTTGGGCATGAAGTAATAACGTTTTGGGGGTCTCTTGATGGTGTGTAACATCTCCAAGCTGTGAAAACAAAAAAAATCAAAGGGAGATACCCGTTGAACCGGATTTAACGTAATTGACTTGAAATAAAGAAAGTTGAGGTGTGAAGAGATCTACTTGATCCCATGCTTGATGGTTCACCTTAAGAGACTATTAGGAGCCTCGAGATCATATGAAAAGTCTTTGAGATGCCAAAGCTAAGTGTGCCATGATCCAAATAAAAAAAGGTCTGAAATGAAACAGTTTTGGATCCGTCGGTTTCTACTCCTGGTTTTGGTCAGATTTGTACCATTCAGGTTTGATTCCTTGTTCACCGTTGATCCTTGATGGGTCAAAGACATGGAACAAGTAGGTGTTGGGCTTAAATCCTCATGGTTAGGCCATAATGCTTCAAGAGAGCCCAATATGTCATTATCGGGCAATTTGAATGACTGCATGATCTTCGGAGTTTCTAGGTTGTCTTCCTTGGGTCATAACTGTTATGGGTTCTTGAGAGACTGGTAAATACTTGTCAAAATGCCTTGGGGCATGGCTGGTTCATCATGGATTTGACGTTCTCATCAGACAATCTCACCGAGTAAATGTCATGTTCGAAACAGACCATCTACCTAACTAACTGTCTAATTTGAATCCAATTAATTATCCGAAAAATTGTCCAACTCGAAATCAACTTCTTAGCTCAGTCTAACTTGATATTTTCACTAAAATTATAAGCTTTTTTTATTGAAAATGACAAAAGAAAATCTCATAAAAAAAATAAAAATAAATCACAAAGCTAAATTATGTTACCTCTAGAGATGTGTTGTTTCCAAAGTCTTAGTGTTTGAAAAGTGGAACAGAGCTAAGGCAATTTATATATATCGATTGATTAAAACAATAAAAACAGGGTCTTTTCCTCTCTCCCAATATTTGATTTCTCAGTCAAAAGTTAAACACTTTCACTTTATGAGTGTTAGGATAAAACCAAGTGATCAACACTGCAAATAACGATTAAAGATAAACAAGGATGATTCCAATGGAGCACCCCAGCGTCTGAATCGGCGCAAGAGATGCCACCAGCACTACCAGGAGTCAGATGCAACATAGCAGAACTGTAAAAGACAGATAACGTGAGATAAAAGCACTCGAGTACATCGCTCTGATCAAAATCCGAGAACCTAAGCAGGTAAACACTCTATTAATACTTCACTATCTACTCCATAATGAGGATCATATATTTTTAGCTAAAAACAAATATAAAGAGACTCTTTCTCAAGCTCAAGGTCAATCCCCTCGAATATTGAGTTTTTTCTGGCTGTTTAGGACGAATCCCTCAGTGTAAAGTAAAGTGATTCATGTTGGGCTTAAAACCTCATGGTTAGGCCATAATTCTTCAAGAGAGCCCAATATGTCATTATCGGGCCATTTGAATGACTACATGATCTTCAGATTTTCTAGGTTGTCTTCCTTGAGTCATAACTGTTATGGGTTCTTGAAACTAGGGGCATAACTGATTCATCATGGATTTGATGTTCTCATCAGACAATCTCACCGAGTAACGGAGATACGACATACCTACACGTCACTCTACCATCCCACTATCAAGGAAGCATGAAGTGGGTTGAGTTCACAATAAAGGAAGGACCCTCGAAGGAGAACCCGGTAATGAGTATAGAGGAACACTTACCTCTGACGTGTAGGTATGACGTGTAGGTATATCATTTAGTCACTTTACTTTATTATTTATCTAAATACATGAAAATTTAAATTACTAAGAATAACCTTCCATTTTTCAGTAACAGTACCATTCGAATACCTAACGTTTACCTACAAAATCTTTTAATTATGTAGCTCCTTTTAAATTAATGTCGAAAACAAGCGCATAAACAGTTCATGTGACAAACATAAACACATTCATGTCCCTTACATATATTTATATATGTACACAATTATTGAGTCCTAAACCCCACAAATACTAATTCTCTTACATAAATAAACCATATCAAAGATATATAGACTGGTAACTTCTACCACCACATCGATTAATAATTTTATCATCGTTACTCAGAAACATAACATACAATTATTATCAATTGTATATATAAACCGGTTTTGGTACACTTGTATAGTGGTTAAGTTAGATTCCGGTTTATACTTGATACTTGTATATATACTTGTAGATACACATTTGTATACGTTTGACGAATGAATAAAACATATATTGAAATTAGATCTTATCTCTAATATGGTATCAGAGCACTTATAGATTTGTTCATCTTCTTCGTCCAAATTTCTTTCGTTTCTCTTCGTTTTTCTTCACTTTTCACCGATTGTTTGTGAAAGAGAGGTTTCTGGAGCATCAGAATACGAGCTGCTGGAACACATGCACAACTGTTTTAACACATGGAGAAAAGTGAGATTGAACTCTTATTGAATTAGAAGCCCAATTATGAGAGAGGTTAAAAACCCACATGACATGAAACGTGAGGATTTCGTAGTGGTAGTATAAAAGGCGAGAGGCGTTGACAAAAAGAGTTACGCGCCTAGGGTTCCTTTGTGAGATGCACACATGTGTGTGTGGCGTCATCCCACCATATTGATGGTGGTTTTCTATGAAGATTGCAGCCGTTGAGAAGGTGGTGTTGCACCGGTGTTGCTGGTTGGTTGTCAAGCATGTGGGCTTGATACCTATCTTCATAGTTTGTCCATGTAGAAAAGAGTGGTGGTATGCCATATAGCAATTGTAGGTTGCGGCCTTTTCTAATGGATTGATTCTGGACTAGGTCCCGGGGATGTAAGAAAAACCGAACCTCGTGAAAAAACTCTATGTGTTCTTTATTTTATGCTCATACATACTCGTTACAAACACAAACGTAGAGATCTAGCCACAAACCGCTTTTTCAATTGGTATCAGAGAAGGACTCGATAGAGATCTATTCTTATTTTCGGGTATGATCCTGGATTCGGTATTGGTGGTTGAGATTGAAGAGCAAAGTATGAGATTAGGGCTCATGATGTTCATGCCAATGAAGAAAAAAATTGAATGAGCCTGTTCGTTTAAAAAGAANTGAGAGAGATCAGGTCGTGTTTGAGATTCAAAGGATGGGATAGAAGAACTAGCTCAGTTATGGAGGAGGAGAAGATCTGAAGAAAAAGCCAAGAGGAAATATCAGCTTCGACCAGTCACTTTGCGGGCTATTTTGCAGGCAGATAATAAAGAACCAGAAATCGATCTTTACACCGTTGCAAAGATAACGAAGTCAGCTTTCCAGAAGAAAAAACGGAAATCAATTCTGATGTGAAATATGGGAGTTATGGATGTTTTTCTCTAGCGAAGAAATTGACCAAGTTTGCAGTGCAACAGATGTTGGAACAAACAAGATAATGTTGGAACATGTCCAAGAACAAATGTACGTTCTTAAAAAAGGAGAGTGTGATGTACGTCCTTGTTCCTTAATTTTCTTGAGAGGTTTTGAATGAATATGTTAACCAAGATGGGGGAGATTAATGTGCCGATGCATCTCCAACAAATCCCAATGAAGAGCTTCAACAAGTGAGTATCAAGAAAGTATTGATGCTGCCACTGAGGGAGAGTCGATGCTGAATCTAGATAGTGTGAGGATGAGGTTGGATGCACACATTCAATCAAAAAGGGGGAGAATGAAAGAGAGGTTTCTGGAGCATCAGAATACGAGCTGTTGGAACACATGCAGAAATGTTCCAACAGTGGAGAAAAGTGAGATTAAACTCTTATTGAATTAGAA